TCAGCATCCTTGCCAAGTCTTCAGAAAAACCGGGGCTCGAGTTTGCCTGACGTTCTGGAGAACATTCTGCCCCTTGCTGTCACCCAGGTCCAAACTTGAGTGTCTTTCCTCATCATAGAAATGAACACAAATGTACCTGCTCTATCCAGAGGTAGACTGCTCTGCTTTCTTATGATCAACATCCTGCTTTAATTTCTCATCCCCATTCCCAGCCATTTGCTTTAGAAGACCATGATTTCCCTGGGCATGAAGAAAATGATGCTACCTTAAGCTGTGTTAATAGTATTTTGCCAAAACCCACAACATGATTTAGTTAAATGATTAATGTTAGAAATGAGTTTGCTGCAGGATTTGAGGGGGAAACTTTATGAGTTTTGGAAAGAGTCCCATTATGGGATGCTGTCTTTCACCTTTGTACAAGTTCTGTCTAAAGGTGATGCTTGGGATTGTTGTTGCCATCCAGCTACATAACTGAGAATGAGGTTAAGACATGTACAAAAGCAAGAGGCCTCAGATCTGTTCTATCCCTAAAACAAAGGAAGAAGTTTTCCTATTTTTAAAAGTTATCATGCTCTGGATATTTTGCTACTTAATGCTCAAACCAGAGAAAACAACCACAAAGATTTCATTGGACCATTATCTATATCCCCAGGAATAAGTCACTTAAATTGCTAATTCTCCATCCAGTCTTGTGAAAAAACTTAGTAAGAGGAGAATAAGTTTTCTGTAATTAATTTTGTGTCTTAGATGATAAAAGAAGAGTACTTGTGCTTAACTTCCTGAGCTCAATCTCTTTCCTTTAACTCTGTCATTTTTGTCTAATTGTCTTTCATATATGACATGTCATGAGTCATGTCACATGTTAACAAGGAAAGTAGAAAGTTGTCTGAGATATAGTAATTCAATATTTTGATGAAGTTAAGTTTATGTCATATATTTGAGAAGTATTCGCTGAAATAATGAGGTATGCCCCATATCACTATCTTAAGAGAACTTCTTGAGTAAGCCTAATAAATGCAAGTTAATAGCTGCATTATCAGTATTAACAGAGGACCATGCTGCACATTGAGTGTTGTATTATAGACATACATTGCTGTGTGTACCAGGCTAAGAACAGGTATGCTGGTTAAACAGTAATAAAATGGTTTTGACAAGTTCCTTAAATCCTTGGAATTTGCATAGATAATGTGGGCAGCCAACAGTAAACAATGCAACATGCTATGGAAAATGATCTCATACTGCATGATGAATATCAGCCTAAGAAACATAGCTCAAAATAAAGAAAGGCATTGAAGTGGGCAGGGAAAGATTCCTGGGAGGTATTTATCAAAAGTTAGTTCTGGAGTATAAACTGAATTTAAGCAGTCGAAAGAGAAGTTAATATATAGAAAACTGCATGAACAGAGAAAAAAGATGCATTTGGCATATTGTAAAGCATCAAAGTGTCTCAGATGAGGTGCTAGAACAACAGGAAAACAGATGGGGTTTAAGGGGTATATTTTTAAGCTACATAAAGGAGTTTGGATAGTATTTAGAGCATATCAGTGGTTCTTGGTAGAGATTATAACTCAAGGTGATAGAAAGGGACTGTGTTAGTGGAATTCTTCTAAGCAGCATTCAAAAGAGTGATTGTCAAAGAAATGAAGGGGAATGGGAGGGTCTTGAAAGGATGTTTCTACCACAAACCATCATATGGATGTGAGGGAAAGAGAGGCACCAATCTGACTTTCTAGTTGAGGGGATGGATTGTCATTGGAAAAGGTTACCCAAAACAACTGCTGTTGAGTGGCTAAAACCTCCCAGACACATGTGATTCTCACTGTGTCTGCTGCACACTGTGATTGCTGACTGTCGGTAGGCAGTTGTTTGCATAGCTTGTTTGTGGTTTGGGTATGGGCTACAGTCACTGATGTCCAGCCTTTGATTGGTTATATGACGATGTGGGGTTAATCGAATAAGATAAAGTATAAAAAACTCATACTGTGCCAAAATCTTGGTAAACTTATTTTACATGTGTTTTACCCTTCCTTATCAATACTATACTTTCTCTTATTTTGTGAAGTTTCCAATCTATAGCCTGAAATTATTAAAAAGATAATAGAAAAATGTATGCTCAATAAAATCAATTAAAAAGGTTATAAGTGATAATACATACAGAATCCTTCAGTATTCCAACATTGTTTTATAACTACATATGGTGTGTTTTTCGTTATCTTTATCTTATAGATGTTAAAACAGGCAAAAAAGAACTTAAATATGGTGACTTGTTCATAATTTATATTTTATATAGATACTGAGTGTTGTACTTTAGATTTGATTCCAGACTTGTCAGGTTCCCATTCTTCTTTAACCCCCTGTGCCATGATGCCTCTCTTTCTCAGTAGATTTATCAAAACTTATTGACTACATTTTAGCTCTTAATCTATCCACATTCTATGCCATTGCTTGCTGTTTCTAGTAACTCTAGTTATGAAGTAACTAGTGTGGAGTACCCATAATTTTTTAGATGTTAACACTAAAACATTCAATGTTATATAATAATGCCAAATCTATTACTGATTGTCATTCACAGACCTGAAGAAAAACATAGATTTTGATTTTGGGTTCATAAGACTGAGATCTCGATATACACTGCCTTAAAATTATGAAAGAAAATTAAAATTTTATTAATTGCATACATATATTTGAAAATATCTTGCAAAATGGTAGTTGTGCCATAACATCTTCACGGTCATTCATAGAAGTAAGTCCTACACAAACACAAATTATATCTAGGTTTTGCGAATATTGTTAGTAAACTTTCTCCTGCTAACCTCTCCTCAGCACCTACAAAGCCTCTTGGCATATCTAGGGCTTTATACATTTTACAAAATGAATGAAGGGATGCTTAACTATTAGAAAAACACTCACTATCATTTGATTTTCTTTGTAATTTTGCTAGGCAATGCTATTTTGTTCATATAAGAAATAATTGTGTTGCACAAGAGAAAAATTAAATAACAAAGAAGTCATTTTCTGGGGAAAAAGTATGTAAACATATGTAGATTTCCATTACATCTCAGTACTGTGTTTGGAGTAGCTCCAAGGAGAGTGGTTCTATCACTGACCACTGAGGCACCAATGCTGGGGCTGCCACTGAACCCTGACAATTGACATCTCAACCCACTTGAAGTGGAGTTTTATTTTGAACTGGAGGATAAATAAGTATCTAACTGTTGATTAGTAGAAAAAGCTCAACTTACAGCATAGGTCAGAGGGTTTTTGGTGCCCTATGAGATGAAAAATTAATTGTTGGACCTCATAGTACTCTTTGTTTATGCTTGTTAGTGTTATAGAAGCACAATCAGAACCAAATTCTGAGTTATTTTAACTTAATATGTTCAGTCATATCTTTAAAAATCATATGAGTTTTTTTCAGTTCTTTTGAGAGTTTCATGCGTGAGGTCATTATATGTATATCATTTCCACTATTCCCCCCCAAGCTTCTGCCTACTCCCTCTGGAATTCATGACTTATTCCTGTAAAGTAATAGTAAGCGTTATTGTATACCATGATCTATATATCCCTGATAGCCATTTAATATTGCTCGTATATACAAAGATTTAATATTGACCACCTGGGACTGGATAACTTATCAGACACGCTGTCTGTATCTCTTCATCTAGTGGTGTAGTTAATTCTGCATTCTTCCCAAGTTCTTTTATGTAAAAGCGGAAAGAAATAAAGAAAAGGGAGAAACTGAAATCTGAAGTCATTGTTTCAAACCCATCTCCCCATACCTGTACCTCCCCTGACCCCCCGAAAGCAAACAAATCAATCTCTTGCGTGTATGTAGAACCAATTCCTGAAGCTTGGTTAAATCTGAATTGGCATTCATATTGATTATGATGAATTGTATGTGTGTACTATGTTTAATAATGTTATTCATGACCCCTGGTGATGAAGTTGACCTTGGGGTTGCTAAGCTGGGGTTGGACATCACCTCTCTGGGCTTATGATTAAGCGAGAGCTGTCATTCTTTCTGCTGTGCCTTGCCAACAAAAGCTGACTCTGTCACAGGGTCTTCCATTCCTACTGAAATTTCCTTCTCTGATGTTAACTATCTCCAAAGTGCCGAATTCCTCATACATTATTGAAAAGTCAGCAACTTCTTTTCATTTCAAGAACGTTGATAAACGTATTAGAAATTGTGTCTTCTTTCCTCCATATTGTTAAGAAAATGTAATTTTAAATGTAAGGATGCCTTCATTTTTTTAAAAACATAAATCGGTCCTTTTTCTTCATTTTTGTAGTTTGAAATCAGAAAAAAAAATCAGATGCTAATTATCTTGATAGCTGTCACCTTGATAATGAGACAGACCACACTTCTTCGAAAGGAGTAAGGTGTGAATCAAAGTGTGTAGATTTAATCACTAAAGGGACATAACGAGAAATGGAAGATCCTAAGCCTGAAGTTGAGAAACAACTTAGGAGGACATTTTATTATTCGTAGCAATGTGTGCTTCCAACTACAGAAATAAGTATCCATTTTCAATTGTCAGTATTTTCTTTGCATAGAGCAACTTGAGAGAGATTGGAGAGTGGGTAGTTCCCTCTCAGTATCAGCATATGTCACCTAAAGCATTTTTTTTGAAAGAGTATTCGAGTGGGGTGATTTTGTTATGCATATTTCATTGCAGAGATCATTTTGCCCTAAAGAGTTGATGTTGACCAACTCAGTCAGAGTCAGAGTATATCCTTGCCCTTGGGAATCCATAAGATGTGATCATAATTGTGAAATCATTGTTAGGAAATTAGGATTGTTGGGTGACTTAGGAATTACGCTCTAGTTAAACATCTTGGGAATATTTTAAAATGCTATTCTAAATCTTTTTGATTGTCTTCCTCTTTTCCTTAATGCAATTCCACATGTTGAAATGGTTAATTGAATGGAGAAATAAATGTGTTTACTGGAAATTGCTTAACCTTTGAATGGTAATTACAATTTTATATTCTTATAGGATTATTTAACTATTCACAAGTATGGCAATGCAGCCAGAAATGATCTCTGGAATACATTATCAGAGGTAAAGTAGAAGAAGCAGAAATATCAAAGTGTCTGCTTGAGCAACTGAACTTCATTTATAAAACATTAACTTTTATGGTCATGGGCATTTTATATTTGCTTTCTATAATTCCTCTTTTTTCATATTGCTTTGGTGCTTTATTTTTATATAAGATAAAGAAGAAGAGATTTAAAATTATTTGACTTAAAAATGTTGGTTAAAGTACCTTGTCTGTTTTGAAAAATGACACTGTTTTTAATGAATTGATAATTGTACAAATGTCTATATTCTAGTTGGATCAGTAAATCTACCTCCATCCTCTCTTCACATGCCTTCCCTGTTTTGCCCGTCATGATTCCATCCCATGTTCAAGGGTTCATTTTAAAATCTCAGAGTCCACTTACTGCTGGCAGTATGTGACCTGGTGTGGGTCATCACTGTGATGTAGATAGGCTGCGTAGCACCCTGGGGGGCCATGTACTTTAAAAATATTTAACTCTCCTTCTCTCACTAGTCACCAATTGCCCATAGTGCCTCAGCTAAGGGTGGGGCTTTGTGATCTCCCTCTGCCATCTTAATTGTCTGGCATGATCTTCCACAGCTCCTAAATACTATTGAATGATGTTTTATTGTGGTATTATAGGTTCATGTTCAAAAGAGAGTTATTGAACGTTTAAAAAAATATTTACTATATGATAGTAGAACCTATCAGGAATACAAAATGATGTAAAAGTACTTGTAATAATAACTTAGATTTTACCTTCTGCTACGTAAAAATTTTAATATTAATAAAACTTAGCTGTACATATATATATATATACATATATATATGGAACAAAATATTATAAGAAGTTCAAGGCAAGAAGATTATACTAGCGTATAATGCTAGTTTTACTGATTTTAAATGTTTTCCTATTGAGGTAAATTGCAATGATAAAAGTAAGAACAGACTAATGTTAATTATGTTTGCAAGAAGTGTTAATAGATTAATTTGTACAATTTTGGTTGCCAAGGCTTTAAAAAGGAATGGAAAATACGTGAATATACAAGAAGTAATGGACCAGTGGACACTCCAGATGGGATACCCTGTTATCACCATCCTGGGAAACATGACAGCAGAAAATAGAATAATTATCACCCAACAACATTTCATTTATGACATCAGTGCTAAAACCAAAACACTCCAACTTCAAAATAATAACAGGTACGGTACTCTTATTCTCTTAGGAGATTGTGATTTTTAATAATTTCCTTTACACCTTAACATTTTAAATTGTTAAGGAATGTTTTACATTTCAAAATTTTGAAAGATGTTTAATATACTGTTGAGAAAATTCTGAAATATAAGTGGAATATAGTTTTAATCTATTTATTTCTGTTTCATTGTGGTTCTTTTGCTCCTATTTCTTCAAGATTTTAAAAACTATTTTGTTCATTTATTTAATGAATATGGTGTTTTGCCTGCATGTTTGTCTGTGCTCCATGTGAGTGCCTGGTGTCCAAGTAGACCAGAAGGTCATTGGGTCTCCTGGAACTGGAATTATAGACAATTGTTAGATACCATGTGGGTACTGGAATTGAAACCAGGATTCTCTGGAAGAACAGCCAGTGATATTAACCATTGAACTTCCTATCTAGCCCTCCCTCAAAATTTTAACTTTTAACATAGCAGCATCTATTTCAGAAGGCAGAACTTTTGAATTAGCATGGCGACTTTCAAAGATAAGATTTGCATCTTCCCTTCTTTATGACTAGTTCTTGAATTAAATTCAATAGTTAAAACATGTTGCTCTGAATTAAGTAGAATTGAGCCAAATGTGCTTTACAAGACAAATGAGAACTGAAACTAACAATCCAGAAAAACTCATTAAACCAAAGTTCTGTACTTAATAATGTCTGAGCTTAAGGAACATAATATAGATCTTAAAATAATCCAAGCTTCAGTGGGGCCATGTCGGATCAACATATGTTCTTTTCCTCTCAATTGCAGTGCTTGAGCTCATTGACTGGATACAATACATATAGAATTGTTCCTGTTTAGTTGATTTTTTTTTTCAAAAGTGAATCTAAGAAAACTTGGTGTCTGACTTTATCAACCATGGATATCCATGAGATCTGGCACACATACTTTATTGTCATCTAAGAGATCTGGAAACCATTGCCAAGTCAGTTTGGTCCAGTCATGAAGGTACAGAGCCGTAGTTGAGAAATTCACTGGTGCTTTCTGATGAACGCATCTGGCATTTGATTTAGGAAAGCGGGTTCACTATATTTAGCATCTGTACGTATACCTGTATGTGCACATGTGCATATTTGTGTGTGCCAAATTGCACGTGTGGGGGTTAAAAAACTGCCTCAGGTACCAGTTCTCACCTTTCATCTAGTTTGAGACAGGATCTCTTATTCATCATTGTGCACGCCAGGCTGGATTTCTGGATTCTGCGGGCTTGGTTTTGACCCTATACCTCCATAGGAACACTGAGATGATATTAGTGTGTACTGCAACTTTACGTGGGTCTTGGGTATTTGAACTCAAGTCTTCTATTCAGGAAACCTGTTACCTACTGATATTTCCCTCCAGCAAAAAAGCAGAGCCCTGCATCCCTTACTCCACATATACATTGACCTTTGCATCTATCTCAGCCAATAATTTGAACTTCTGCAGTACACACCACTCTGCCACAATCACGCTGTGGTCAGGGAGGGTGTCAGTCCTTCTCTACCTTTTTTGCTCCCTGCTGCACCAACTGCTTCCTGTTATTTCCTCCCTGTCTGGATCCAGGGTCAACATTATCAGGCATCAAACGTGGCTTTACCAGAAAGCACTTTGCTCTGGCAAAGATAGAGAGAAATCACGATCAGATCTTGGAGCACTGCTATCCTGACACAGTGTCACCGACGTAGTAAAAATATCAAGGACACATAAAGGGTTGCAGGATAAATTTGCACAAGAATACTTTGTCAGTCTGTCACATACATTGTTATACTAGTTGTGGACCCGGTCTTTTAAAAGAAAATGTATCCTCTGGGCTATGTAAACTTATGCAACTAGAGCTGCTAGAATTACAGAAGCATGTGGAGGATTCCAACCCTGAACACTTGCCACACACTATATAAAGGGATGTGATGCTGATGCAAAGCTTCACATTCATCCCCGGAATGACTTTCTTATTTTAACATAATAAAATGTATACTTGAAATGTAACATTTTAATTTTATATTATTGATTATCTAATTCCCTGTGACATTCTGGTCAAAGATTCAAAACCAGTTCTATTTGGTCTTTGCAGTGGTCCCTCCTAACTCTCCTACATAATGTATTCCATTGATATAATAGAACTTGCTCACCTATGCCAAAATTTCCAGCAAGTTGTACATATTTTCTAAGCTGAGTTACTTATTTGTTTACATTTTTTTCCAAGCACATAGGGATATTACTACAATAGCCCAAAACATTTTATTGGATCTAGTAGTTATGTTTTTCATACATAGTCCTTGTATTATAGCAGAGAAAGATCCTTATATAACTAAGAATTTCCTGAAGTTAGCTGATGTGTGACATATTGTGACATTTGTGCTAGAATCTTGTTACTTAGAAAGTTGGACATTTTTTGTGGCATTTTTAAGTAAATGAAATCACTGCTCCGCAGTGTTGCATAAAGTCTCCTCATTTTCTGAATTGTTCTTGAAGCTCTCATGTTCACAGAATCAAATGCACCAACCCAGCCAGGCTTTCCTTCTCTTCTGAGTTGGCCCCAGAAGTTTATACTGATCTTCCTTTAGCATTGATACTTTTTTTTTTTAATAGGGAGTTCTCTCGCCCCAACTCAAACATGCACACATGTTTTCTGCCTTTCTCTAATAATTAGAATTTAATGTTGATTTGCTGTAAAATGAAACCATTGATAAAAACAAGCAGTTGTAGAGGACTGGGCATGCTCACTACACAGTTTATTACCTCAGGCATTCTGCCTCGAAACTTTGCAATACACTTTTCACTCATACAGTGATAGATTATGCACAAAGTTTCCTGTTGGATTTCAGGTAATCTTTGTATAATGTAATTGTTGGCTACAACTTTTACTAGAGTCACAGTGCAAGGTTAAAATAGTTTGTCTATCATTCTAGAAGGGTGTAGACTACAGTGATGGATTTATTGTAAAAAGCATTACACATATGTCTGGCTACTTACTCATTTGAGATGGCATGGATAATGGATATTGCTTCATCTATGAGTCTAGACCTCAATTTGTATCCTGTGAAGAGGTAAATGAAACAAAGTGCTTTTTTTTTAGTAGCCGAGACTCATGACTGACCCCTCATGTTTGTGGTTTCATTGTAACATCCACTTAGAAATTCTTCTCAGAAAAACAGAGCTCGAAGTGTGCCCACGTTATTCTTTATATAGATCTGAATTTTAATGAAAACTGATTATTTTTGTTCCTACTTTATTATTTGCTGAGCTACTTTGGTGTTCCACATTAATCTCTCTGTAAAATATGTGGTTAGGGTCCCTCACACTTGCTAGCCAATAAATAAGGACATTGTTTATACGCGAATGTAGGAAACAACTGAATTATCTATTAGTTTAATCCAGAAAAAAGTAGAATTATTTTTAGACTTTAATCAATAAACAGCGCAGCTCAGATTTATAGATTTTGGTTGCATTTATTTCTAAAGTACAAATCTATTTTTGCAAAATAGATTGTTTTATAGAAGTTCCTTTGCATTGAAGTTAAAACTATTAGATACCAAGTATATCTTTAGTTTCATTGGGAAGGTGTATTTGCCTTCTACATACATTCTTTAGGCCTGGGACTTCTTTGGTAATTCATTGATTGATTCATTTATTGATGAATTGATTATTATTTTCCAAAAATGTAATGAAATTTGCACAGATGGAACATAGGCAATGCTTGCTTTTGCTTTGATGTATCTGTTTTATTGTTAAAGCTTTCTTATTTTCCAGTTACCTGTGGCAGATTCCATTAACCATTGTGGTAGGAAATAGAAGCCATGTGTCTTCAGAAGCAATTATTTGGGTGTCTAACAAATCAGGTAAAATATAAATTCTCTCCCAGGGAACTGTTGTGCTCAGATAATTGTTTAGATCTTAACCTCTTTTCTCAGCTGCTTCACAATGTGAATGAAGATAAATTATCATGAGAAAACAGAGTAGCGATAATCACGTCTGCAAAATTAGGTACAATATAGTTTCTAAATAGCCTAATTTTAGACTGATATGGAAATATTACATTTATTTGTTTCTTTCTGAGTCAAGAGAAAGTGATTAAGTAAGTATAGTATCAATCTTCTTAGAGCTGTATGAATTTATATTCCAAAACGTAATTGAAGTATGCTCATAATTAGTCACAGAATATGAAGGATCCTGAAACAGAGACCTCGTTTTTATTTTTTAGTCTTCCTTGATTTTATTTATACACTTTAAAAAAATGGTCCTTCCAAGGTTGTAGGGAAGTACAAGAAATGCAGAATAGAATCCTCCTGTAAGTTTATCATAATTCTACCAAAAATAAAAGAATTATCAGAGAACCCTTCTTTCAGTATTTTTATTATAAGCATTTTTGTAAATGCTCAGAAAACTGAGAAATTACATTTGTTGAGTGCTAGAATACACCTAGGACTTTGCTATCTATCTATCTGTCTATCTATCTATCTATCTATCTATCTATTCTATTCATCTATTTATTTTGCATCCCGTCCCCAGCCTCTTCCCATCCTCCCTTGCTACTCCTTCCCTCACCTCCCAATCTCCTCCTCTTCTGTCTCCATCCAGGAAAAAGCAGGTCTCCCATGAGTATCAATAAAACATGGCATATCAAGCTGCAGTAAGACTAAGCACCTTCCCATGTATTAAGGTTGGGCAAAGTGACCCAATATGAGAAATAGGGTCTCAAGAGCCAGTAAAAGAGTCAAAAACTAGCCTTTGCTCCCACTGTGAGGAGTGGGACCAAGATACATCTCTGCTACATATATGCAGAGTGCTTAGGTTAGTTCCATGCAGACTCCCTGATTGTCCCTTCAGTCTCTGTAAACCTCTTTGAGCCTAGGTCAGTTGATGGTATGAGCCTGCCTGGCTCCTACACTCTTTTCTACACCTCTTTGCTAGGATTCTCAAACTCCGCCTAATGTTTGGCTGTGGGTCTCTGCATCTGCTTCCATCAGGTGCTGGATGATGCCTCTCTGATGACAATTGATCTAGGCAACAATCACAGAGATGGCCAGTTCAGGCTACTTACTCGCTATTGCTAGTAGTCAAAGCTGGGTGTGTGGATTGTAGCATAGTTGTCCTTTTTTCTTTTACAGTTAATATTCACTTGTGAGTAAGAACATACCATGTTTGTCTTTCTCTGTCTGGGTTCCCTTACTCAGGATAATTTTTTCTAATTCCGTCCATTTTCCTTAATTTTCCTAGTGTCCTTCTTTTTTTAAACAGCTGACTAATGCTCCATTGTATAAATGCCACATTTTCTTTACTCATTCCACAATTGAGGGACATCTAGGTTTTTTTTTTTCATTTCTGGCTATTACAAATAAAACTGCTATGAACACAGTTAAGCAAATGTCCTTGTGTAATGTTTGAGCTTCCTAAACTAAATTCAAGAACACATCAAGATCATCCACCATGACGATGCAGGCTCATTCCAGAGATAAAGGGATGGCTCAACATATGAAAAACTCTGAATGTAATCCATCATATAAGCAAACTGAAAAAGGAAAAAAAAAACACATGATCATCTCCTTAGATGCTGAAAAGGCCTTTGACAAAATCCAACACTATTTTATGGTAAAAGTTTTAAAGAGACAAGGGTTACAAAGGAGATACATAAATATAATAAAATCAGTATAAAGCAAGCCAATTGTCTACATCAAATTAAATGGAGAAAAATTCAAACCAATTTTGCTAAAATCAGGAATAAGACAAGGTTGTCCACTCTCTACATACCTGCATACCTATTCAATATAGTACTTGAAGTTCTAGCTAGAGTAATAAGACAAAGGGAAATTAAGGGGATACAAATTGGAAAGGAAGAAGTCCAAGTTTCACTATTTTCAAATGTTATTATAGTATACACAGTTTCCAAAAAAACTACTGAGAAACTCTTTTAGCTGATAAACACCTTTAGTCAAGTGACTAGATACAAGATTAATTAAAAAATATCAGTAACTCTCCTATGCACAAAGGATAAATGAACTGAAAAAGAAATCAGAGAATCAACACCCTTTATAATAACCTCAAATAACATAAAATGTCTTGGTTTAACTCTAACCAAACAAGTGAAAGACCTGTATGACAAGAACTTCAAGCTTTTGAAGTTATATATCAGAATATAGAAAGATCTCCCTTGCTCATGGATAAGGAGGATTAACATGGTAAAAACTGGCCATCTTGGCAAAAGTAATTTTTGGAGCCAATGAAATCTCCATTAAAATCCAAGCACAGTTTTTTACAGACCTTGAAAGAAGAATACCCAACTTTGTATGGAAAAACAAACAAAATATAAGATAGTTAAACAATACTATACAATAAGTGAACTTCTGAAGGTATCACCATCCTTGATTTCAATCTTAGTGTCTCTACTGCAGAGATATAGCAATACAAACCACATAATATTGATATAAACAGGTGAATCAGTGAAATAGAATTGAAGACCCAGATGTAAATCCACACATCTATGAACACCAGAATTTTTGACAAGGAAGCCAAAATTATACAATGTAATAAACAAAGCATCTTCAACTTCAACAAGTGGTGTTGGTTTATCTGAATGTTGGCTTGTAGAAGAATGCAAATAGGTCCATATCTATCACCCTGCACAAAAATCAAGTTCAAGTTGATCAAAGATCTCAACATAAACACAGATGCACTGAACCTGATAGAAGAATAATTAGGAAATAATCTCCAATGCGTTGACACAAAAGACAGCTTCCCCAAAAAATCAGTACTAGCATAGGTACCAAGACTGAGAATTAATAAGTGGGACATTATAAAATTGAAAGTTTCTGTAAGGCAAAAGACACTGTCAATAGGACAAAACAGCAGCCGATTGAATGGGAAAAGATCTTCACCAACCCCACATCTGAGAGGGCTGATTTCCAAAATATATAAAGAACTTAAGAAACTAGACACCACAAATCAAAGAGAAAAATCTAAAAGCAAAGAGGAACACTAATTACTAAAAATATTGAACTGGTCACAGTCATTGTGGGCAGATGAACCGTGTACCATGTATGCATCTCATTTGTAAAATTAGGATGCAGACTGCTTGCTGAGCAGTTAAGAAGCTAGAATAGATCTTCAGATTGTTTCTTACTTTATTCAAACTTTTAACGCCGTTTTTTGGATAGAACACTATCCTCTGATTATCAAATACTAAGTTGATTATATGGAACAGACGAAAATTGATGAATATGATTAAAAGACCTTCCAAGAAAAAAAAAAGGAAACTAGACATCAACAAACCAAACAGTCCAATTTAAAATGGGATACAGATTTAAGCAGAGAATTCTCAACAGAAGAATGTCAAATGACAAGAAACACTTAATGTTTAACAACCTTAGCCACTAGGGAAAAGCAAATCAAAATGGCACTGAGATTCCATCTTCCACTTGTCAGAATGGCTAAGATAAAAAACACAAGGGACAGAACATAATGGAGAGGATCTGGAGCAGGGGACCAGTCCTCCATTGCTGATGGGAGTGCAAATTTGTACAGCCATTTTGGAAGTCAGTGTGGCAGCTTCTCAGAAAACTGGGAACCAGTCTATCACAAGACTTAGCTATGTTGTTCTTGGGCAGAGGCCTCATTTTAACCTCACTCTGTGACTACCTTTTCTCTATCAGGCTGCCCCTTTGGGTGAGAGAAACACTATATTTCTCGTGATATTAAGTAATTGTAAAGCCAGTTGGGGGGTGCTTAGGCAAGTCATCAAACATCCTTGTAGGAAGAATCAAGCCTCAGGGAGCTGAAAGAGATAAGATTCCATTTTCTTTCTAAATATCTTCAAATAAGATAGTGAACTATTTCAATTCACTGTCAGAAAGAAAACTATTTCTTTAATCAAATCTATATCCTTCATGCCAGAGTGTGAAACAGGTTCTTTCTATTTCTGTGTTTCATTGACTTGCAGAAAAAGACAATTATCCTTTATGTAACATTTCACTTAAATCTAGATGGTCAAGTGTGCTCATATTTTGCTTTTTTACTACTTTTTCAGGAGCTAGTAATTGATATTGTTTTACTAATCTGTAGGAAGCATTTTAACATCATATATCTTTGGAGTAAGACCAGGTCTAAAATGCAAACACTGATTTTCTTGTAGGTATTGCTCTTGTAATGGATATACATATATATCCTTACAGTATTTATGTATACATATATATATATATTATAAGAATGCATTAAAATGTTTACTTTAACACATTTTGATGTTTTTCTTTGAAATAAAATACTGATACTTTCTCAATCCAATTCCTCAGAATTAACATTTATACCATGGTTCTGAGTCAACACTTCTATATCTTTATAAATGTCTTTTCCACTCATAGAGCTGTTTTATTTATTCGTATACTTTGTTACAAAATGATGAGCAAGAACACTGAGTTGTCATGGTAATGTTGTGATTGTTGGCATTATATATATGACAGAATAATCCTCAGATACAAAACAATGTATCTTTGGATGGTGGTATGGGAATAGAGAAATCAGAAAAATGCATCAATTTAAACTATGGTCGGGTGTAGTGATTGGCAATTTCCCAAAGTACACATTTCATTCGTCCATTTTTATCAGCTCTAGTTATAATATTCCTTTAATCATATGAGCATGAAAAATAGTGCCAAGCTCTGCCTGTCCCATTGATGGATATGTCTGATGATTGTTTTTTAAATATCTGTGCATTGATTTTTATTAAAATTAACCATTCTGCTTAAGCCAAGTGTTGACCTAAAATATTGATAATGTTGAATTCTGTGATCATTATATGTAGATGTGCAATTTGTAAACACAAAGTTCTAGGAGGGTACTATATGCACAT